GTCACCTCCAGAAAATGGAGTTTAATTCCTCTCCCCCTGTGCATTACTTGGACGTAGTCACTTCTTCCCACAGTATAACTTTACAATTGAGATACTTGACAAATACCATCTTTACCAAGTCACCAAGGGTAACATAAGCAGTGACAAGTCATGTGGCACCATCCACAAGCTGCTAGAATGTAATGAGACTAATATTACATTTCTGTGAGGTTTCCCCCCTAGGAAACTATCATCCCAGCATGGGCATGAGCAAATATCAGATACACCTGAATTGAGTACAAAATATTTTTAATCAGTACTTAAAAATGTCAAGATCTGGAAAAATAGAAAAACTGAAAAATTTAGGTTAAGGATGCATGAGACTAAATGTATAGTATCTTAGATTGGATCCGGGAACAACAACAACAAAAAAACACTAATGGGAAAACTGAAATTCAAATAAAATCTGTAGTTTAGCTAATAGTATTGTATCCATATTAATGTCTTAGTTTTGACAAATATTACATAAAGTGTTAGCATTGGGGAAATTAAATGCAGGGTTCGTAGGAACTCACTGTAGTAATTTTGCAACCTTTCTGTAAATCTAAAATTACTTGAACTTTTTAAAAGTTTCAAACTATTCAAAGAAATATTCCACAATCTAATTTGTATTCTATCTGTAAAATAAATTTTCACCAAATATATTGACATGCTAACGATGCAGAAAAATATAAAATACATTTATTTTTAAGATTATATGCAAATCAGATTAAATGTTTTATAAGCTCTGTATGTGCTAACGAAAGCTTCCATTTTATAAAAGTTACATCTAGATGAATACAGGATATGCTATCGGCCACTGACAATATATAGAAAAGAATTGTTGCTTACTGTCAAAGAATATGGTTTATTAATTTGAAGTTGTGTGTGTATATGTTTAACTAATTTTTCCTCATCATTCCAATGCAAACTAGTTAAATTCATTCTTGACCTAACTCCTTTTTGTGGTCGTGGTGGTAGTATTTTGAAGCAGGGTCTCACTACATAGTTCAGATGAGATCAGGCACATTCAGGGTAGCATGGAGGCTACATAGTTCAGGATGGCCTTGAACTTGCAGGAGTCCTCCTGCCTCAGCCTGAGTGCTGAGGTTACAGATGTATACCACAACCGCAGCTTATTTTCCAAATCTACCAAATTTTAGCTATCATTCAGTATTTAGCAACTTCTATATCTTGAAAGAACTGAAAAAATAGGGAGGGGGGTTAGAAAACAAAACTAAACACTTTGTGAAGCTGGTAGGTGAGATATGTGGTTCTCTTTCCTCTTAGTCTTCCATGGTGAGACGACATAACAATCTTTCTGTGGCAGTGCTTGGTGTTGCAGGAACTGAGTATTATTTACTGAACTCATTCTTAACTAGTATTACTTTTATTGAAAATATCAAGATAAAGATGGCCTGGTAAATTATTTGGTCCTAAAATCTGCTCCCCAGGACTCTGTGGCAAGAGGCAACAAACACAGCTCATGATACTTAACGATGTCTTGCAACAAAAGAACTCCTGGTTTCCAGGATTATAGGAATAATCTATGGAGCAATGGCAACAGTACATGAAAAGCTTGGGCATAACTTGTCCCCTAGATTTCCCTAGGGGTACACCTGTAATGAGCTTGCCAAGTTCTCTATGGCCTCCCACTGTCACAGGTGACACCCAGGTAACATCCCCCTGTTCTGAATGACAAGTGGGCTGCCCTGCATGATACTAGGACCATTCTGTTGTCCATCCAGAGCCTGTTAGGATCCAATATGGAAAGCACTGTGAGTACAAACACTGCTCAGTTCTAACTCGACAACTTACACCCCTTAAGAATCTGTGAAACCCTAAATAAATCAAACTTCCTAACCTTGTCCAGCTTTTTTTTTTTTTCCTTAGATGGTCCTTTCTTCATTTCTGTAACTTAAGTTGAAGTTTTTTCTTTTTTAAAAATGATCTCCCAAATGAGCCCTTGTGATGCTTTCCAAAATTAATCAGGGGCAGTCTGTGGTGGCACACATCTGTAATCCCAGTACTTGGGAGGCTGAGGAAAGAGGGTCACTGCAAGTTTAAGGCCAGCCTGGACTGTACATAGTGGGTTCAAGGCCAACCTGGACTACATATGGAGACTGTCTCAAAAAAAAAAATCAGGGTATCAAATTTTAGAACTATGCATTATCAAAAGTATCTATCATAGTATCCATTATAATAGACTGAATCAACTTTCCATTTTTAGTTTTGGCAATAATAATGTCAAATACTTTAAACCAATCTATCAATCAACCGAAGTATGCAGTAGTTAACAAACTAATTGTGCTAGTGGAAATACTGCTCATCAAATTCTTTAGTGGGAATGTATGCCTTAATTGTATTTCTTTTTTAAGTTTGATTTTTCAAAATTTTAAAGTCAGAGAATTTTATTACTCCATGGTTGGAATCAAACATAAACATATAAAGAAAATGAACTTAAGTGACATAATTATATAAAGCTGCAATTCTATGAGAAAATCTTTAAAAGTGCTTTTGCAATAAACATACAATAAGGTAACATGACACCTAGGAATCAATTATTTCCCTTAACTCCTAAAGCCCCAAACTTCCCAACAAAGACCAATCTATTCAATAGTACAAAAATGAAAATATAGTACTTAGGAGAAAAAAGTATTTTGAGAGCATACTAAGACTTTTTCTTGTTTAGATCTGTGATAGCTTGCATCTAGATGTCTCCCAAAGCCTCATGTGGTCACAGGTGGGGCTTTTTGGATGTAGCTGGATCTAGAGTGCGTGATGCTGGGATTAAAGATATGATCCTAGAGTTGATTTATGGTGTGATTCTAGGATTGAGGATGTCCCACCCCGAAGGGCAGGTAGCCTGGATAAACTATAAGGGACAGAAAGAGGGCTATTTTTCACTGCTGCTTTTTCACTGCTTTGCTGCCTTTTGCCGGCCATGGATTGATTCTCCTCTGCCATGCCCGCCATGCCACCCTGTCCTTAGAGTCAGTCAACTATGAACTGAAATCTCTAAAAACTGTAAGCTAAAAAAACCTTCCCTTCTTTAATTTGGGGTGTTGGGTATTTGTCTCAGCAAAGAGAAAAAGTAACTAAAACAAGAACCTTAGAATTATTTTCCTTATAGATTTGCTAAGATTTCTTAAATATTTGTGGTGATGGTGAAGACAACCATAGAAACACAGAATTAGGGATAAAAAAAAAAAGACTTTAAAAGGACCTTTTCAAAAGGATGACAAAGCTTATACTTTCATGCATAAGATACATCAAGATTCAAATATAATCTGCTATTATATTTGAATTTGTGCTCAAGAATTTAGGAATTATGGTTAGCATATTCTTTGACTCAATTTATTAGATAACAAATATGAGGAAAAGACAAAGACTACCTAGATTTTATTATTTTAAAATGATAAATATATAAAACTTACCTTCATTGTAACATATTGTGTGTGTGTGTGTATCTGGTACTAATAACAAACCTATGATAAACAACATATGAAGAGCAGCCCTCATCCTATGCATTTTACAACTCTTCCCATTGTTTCTAGTTTCTATGGTCCTTACTAGAAAAAATGAGAATGGTACATAAACCATCTTTTTTACATAGAAGTATTAATAATATGTGCTAGATCTTACTATTGCATAGGTGGTTTTTGAAAAAGGAGTTCACTATCATATACTTTAGGTAATAATACCCACTGAGTATTAAGAGTTAATAATAGTACACTTAAACTTGGTGCAAATTTTACTTTTATTAAACCTTACAAATGAACGTGGTGGCATATCATTATCCATTGTGTGACAATTTATTGGCTGGCATCTGAATACAGTACTTCTTTTGAAAAATACACAATGGGAACTGACGAGGGAGAGAAACTATTTGTTTAGTGATACACAGGGGCATAAAAAGGCGATCAATTAATTTTAATTTTAGTATCTAATTTTAAAATTATTAAAGTTCCAAACAAAAGTCCTGCTATTACAGTGTACAAGAATGTGTTATCTCATCCAGTCTCTACAATTCCCATAAAAAATAATTCTAAGATTCTACTTGTAAATTCAGACTAGGGTTGGGGCTAGGGATTTAGCTCAGTGGTTCTGCCGCCTGCCTCTTAAGAGCAAGGACCCAAGATTGATCCCTAGTACCCCCCCCAAAAAAAAAATTCAGAGTAGGGTTTTTGCTAAGTAATATTATTTTAAAGGGCTACTTTTCCAAATATAACCTAAACAGTTTTCCCAACTCAGAGTAAATGGGGCCTTTAAAAATATAAGAAGGTAAGGTAGTGACTTTAAAAGTAAGCAATCACTTAACTTCAAATCATAATGGACTCCAAATTATGTCTGCTGATTTAGATTTATGCCCATCTGAGTTAAGGATAAGAAAAATGACTATTTTAAAATCTGTATTTGTCTTGAGAAAGTAGACTGATTAGCTGAGTAAAATGACCATTTCTTTACAGAACGCCTACAATTCAAAAGGCCTTTAATGGCATTTTTGTTTTGTTTTGGTTTTGTTTTGTTTTTTGGTACTGGGGATTGAACTCTGGTCTTTGCACTTACAAGGCAGGCCACCGAACCGATGAGCTAAATCCCCAGCCCTTTAATGGCATTTTTGTAGAACTGTAATAAAAATTTATACATTAACTCCAGCCAATATCACCATGCTATAGTGTAAAGTTTGACTTAAATAAGTACAATTAGTTCATTAAGTATTTAATTTATTCATCTATAGTTTTAAAAACACAAATTTAAGGAGATTATTAAATGGCTCAAGATTTTGAGATTACTTTCTGATGAAGGTCTTAAAAGAGTATTTTGAGGTCACATTTACTAATCAATTCTAAAATAAAATTTTGAGCTATTCACTGATTTTTCAAGGGCTCCTACTAGCTTCTGCAGAGAATTGTGTCCAAACTGATATAAGGCATTGTAACTACCAAGGCTGAAGACTACTGCTAAGTTATCTATTTTTAGTGGTGGAAAAACACTATTTAAAGAAATCCTTATTTTACACTGGAGTCACAACATTCCAGTACCCTGTAAACAGTGTTAGATGTGCCTTGCTCTCAGAATATGTAAGTCCCACCTCACCACCCAAAAGGAGAAAATAGTACATTACTCAAAATTCTGATTGTCATTTTCACCCCAAAACTGAGTTCAATTAATGTGTATTTACTATACTGGGAAAGTTATTCTTTCTTTTAAAAGTAGCTGAAGTAAACATAATTCTTATAGCACAAGGTTAGAGGCAAATGAACTCAATGTTTGATATTTCTAGAATGTGACTAAATCATAAATTATTTTTATATGTAGCAGTTCAAATATTTCATCAAATTTTCCCATAGTAAATAAGGGACAGTAAAATCTCTTCATCAAAAAGTTGGTGTGTACCTATTAATCCATTTCTTTAAATGGTGAAATTAATTTACAAAGTAGTAAAATAAGGGTATGTTTTTAAAAAATTAAACCTCAATTATTTAACCAAAAAGTCTAAGTTCTTTACTATTTACTTTTTATCATTACAAGTTTTTACTGAATAAAGATGAAGATAAACCTACTGTGGCTGTTTGAAATGACTCTCTAAATAGCATCACATCAACCCTCAGAATAAAATGTCACCCCCAAAATCCAAGTAAGTAATCCAACTGATTAAATTCACAGGTAAAATGAATTTTTCTCAAATCAATAAGGAACTTTTTATTCAGAACAATTTTAGTAAGACATTTGCAGGGCAAATATGCCATCATAAATTTTATTCTGAATAACAATAAAGTGCTGAATGATAATTACCTGAATCCTTTTAGTACTTTTCACTTAAAAGAGCCCTTTCTGTGGCATTAGCAAATCTGAGAAAGAAAAGAACGAAAAAGAAAGAAAGAAAGAAAGAAAGAAAGAAAGAAAGAAAGAAAGAAAGAAAGAAAGAAAGAAAGAAAGAAAGAAAGAAAGGAAGGAAGGAAGAGAGAGAAGAAGGCAAAGCTAACTTTCAGCATGGGAACAGGAAGGGAACAGGAAGTACTGCAACCTTTTGTGTTTAACTAGGGTGACAAATAATTGAGACCAAAGAAATTCATGCAGGTTATCTTTAAGGTATACATAAGTTTGAAGAAAGAAAGAACACTGTTACTGACCTTTGATACAATGGCAGTAAACTGCTGCTAAAATACCTTAATTATCCTAGATGCCTAGATCTGGCTTGGCAAGCATCACGCCACTGACATGCTTTAGCTCTTTTTGTAACTAAAAGTGATTTGCAGTTCAGTGACTGAGTATTTCAGTGTGATTTGTTAAGCTGTGTGATAAACTGTGAGGTTAAATTTAAGCAAATTCTTTACACCTAGTCACACTATCAGCACAAACAGGACAATGCTGGAGCAGTATGAAAGGTGGGTCACTTTAAAGTCTTCCTTCTACTGTGTGATATATTAAGATGGCAGACCTAAATTTCAACTGGGTTAATGAGTTAGAATAGATTTGTTTCCCAAATTTAGCACACAAAAATTTCTGTGGATTAGAGTAAGAAACTTCACATGTAAAGGAAAAATAAACAAAAAATAAAAAATAAAAGCTTCAGCTCAAATAGCTAACCTGCAGCTCTAAAAATTGTCATGCTACAAGAGTATTTGCATAAAATGAATTCTTTAACAAACTTAAGAAAGTATTTTGAATTGAAGTTAACCAACTGCTGCATAGAAAATATACTAACATACAACAGTCAAGTTTAAGCCGGTGTGCATAGAGAAGATAAAGCACTTATGGTAACTGCAAATGGTATTAACAAGTCCAAAAGGTTTGTAAGACCTAGCATGGGTTTGTAAGGGGGGAAAAACTGTAGTAGAAATGGTTAGGGAGGAGGAATGAAATCAGAGAAGCTTGAGAAGGCAGAAGCAAGAAAAAAAAAGATCTTCAATTATATAAAATTCACAAGCCAGTAAAGTATAAAGATACCACTGAAAAACAATTAACTCAGTCCCAAACACCCAACAGCAACATAATCAGAATCGTAAGCCTTTGGCAGACAATTTTAGAAATTTGGATATGATATTACAGTTCTTAATAATTCACAAATATATTATATGCTTTATTTATATTAAATACTGGGAAACCAATCCTGTAAGTTTGATGGTTGTAATGTATTAGCCAATGACAGCACAACAATATCAAGCTAAATGAATGCTGGTGTTATCACAACAGTGCTCGTTTATGAAACGACTGTTACCAATTCGTGCCTTAACAGTGCTAAAACACAGTCATATTATCATCTGTGAAGTGAAACAAAGGTCTCCAGCTTTTCTGGGATATGCCCTTTATAATATATTCTATGATTCACAATAACACGAGCAGCAAGACACTGCAATGTGGTATGATTTATGGGCTGAATCAAATTTTTAGCTATTTCCTTCTCATCCAGCAAGTCACTAGCAGTTTGTTTGTGCAAGTTTGTGGCATCAAAATGTGCACCTGATTTAATAAGGAGATTCATGATGTCTGGATGGTTGTTCAGAGCAGCAATATGTAGGGGACTATTGTCATCAGAGTCTCTGACATTCACATCAGCACCACATTCTATCAATATTGCAGTAACTTGCAGAGATGGAAATTTGCAAACTGGGTACCGCCCTACACATGTAGTATTCTTGTCCACAGCGAGATGAAGTGGGCTGAAGTTATTCTTTCCTCTTGGATGCAACTTCAGAAATCTGTAGATAGTTTGCTTTTTGAAATGGTCCTGTTCTAGAGTACAAGGAACTTTTTCTAACAAGCAGATTAAATGCAAAATTATGGAAAGAGCCTTATTTAACTGTAATGGGTCAGCTGGACACTGAGTCTGTTTGATAGCTCGCTCGATTTCAAGCACGCTTTTGCACAGAATACCCATAAGATCATCAAATGTAACAGTGGTACCCAGCAGGCCTTTGGCCCTATCCTGTAGCATAAAGGAAAACAGTTCTGCAAAAGATAATAAGCTGCTTGCAGTCATTGGGCTTAAAGGGTCCAAATTATTCTGCTGCATATCCAAAGCATACTTCCATAGGTTGATGCATCGTTTGAAATTTCCAGAGTCTGCATAGACAGCTCCACGATATCTAATATAGTAAGAGGTATCAGGATGTGAAGGACCAAGAATACGTTCTCTAATTAATAGTGCCTGCATTCTCATTTCATCTGGATCAGCAATAAGACCTTCTAGCTCTTCTGCACTATTTACCTCCTTGGCATAATCATAAGCCATTATTAATGTCTGTGGTACTGGTTTACTTATTATATTAGTCCTATCACTGTACCTCATGTTCATTGCCTTTTTCCAGTATTTCAAGGCCCCAAGTAGATCTCTTTTTTTGTCTACAAATGTGGCTCCTAGAAGCTCCAGAGCATTGATACGTTCTGTCTTGCTGGTCTGTGCATGGTGTGTCAAAAAATCCACAATGTTTGTGTGACCAGTCACACTTGCTGAGAGAAGGGGAGTCATGCCATAACCATCCTTTTCCATCTTGGCACAATACATAAGAAGCATCTTCATGATGTCCAAACTGCCAGATTCTGCACAATCATGCAATGCTGTATTACCTTAAAGAGAAGGGGGGAAAAAAAGAACAGCATACTTTCAGGAACCAGGATATAATATAAATGTAGTTTAGAACCTAAAGAAAAGCAAGCAACTCTAAGACACCCTTAAGTAGGACTTATTTGATTACAAAGAAGAAAATAATTATCCTCAGCATTTAAAGCTATCATCTAATATGTAGCAGGAGCTAAAGAAAATACTAAAATTGAAGAATAAGCAACATGACTAAATTAGGTATAAAAAGAAACGATGTCCAAAGTCAAATGAATCCATGTCCTCTTGGTATTTTTCACTGATGTTTATGAATAAAAACAGATGAAATACAACCAGCTATTCATAATTTTGCTGACAGTCACTTAACTTTCTGTGTCAGCTTCCACATTTATAAATGAGGAAACCAGTCTTCAATAACTAAAATTCCTCTACTTATTCTAACAGTGACCAGAAATTATTTTTTCAAATTTCTGAATGTCAGGTTAAAATTAGCTATTTTAGCCAAAATTCTTGGTTACAAAGTATTTTCCCAAAAAAAGTCTCAGGAAAAATAAGTCCACTGAAATCTGAAAAATATGTGGGTGGTTTAATATGAACTTTAAAAGGAGACATCAGAAGTGTCCAAAAGAGATTATTTCCTATTGTAATTTAATTTTTAAACATTCCTGTTAGATGTACTGAATGTTCTAACAGTGTCCTGTTCTTCCCACACAAATTAAAAGTGACAACAGGCACTGACACATCACTAAGTCTATACTAAACATACTAAGATATTGTCCACATCAGGCATTTTACCTGGCTTATAGCGAACATTTTTACTAATCACAGAAACAAATTACCATGCAAACCTTTGACATTTATATACAATGTTTGTAGAAAATTTCAATAGTGAGTCATTTTTGGCATGCCTGTAGAAAAGAGTTAACACAGGCTGAGAATGCCTTCCACAGAAAGACCTACTTGCAAGGTGGACCCCTATTTGGCATCTGAAAATTTGCCTGGTAGTTTTCTACACTGATAAAACCTTCCCTAAACAATAACAGTGGCTCACCATACCTAAACTGTAACAGCAAGAGAGTTTATGTTTTAACACTTGGTTTCTTGGGTACCTGGGCAAAGTTCCCTATATGAACTTTAGTGCTGGTCTATCATGTTTCCCTCACGTGTATTTTCATTTTTAGGGAAAAATGTGCTGACAATTCATGAGCGGGAGAGAGCATAGAAATGCCTACCTATACATTCACTAGACCTCGTATGTTCCTTTTCCTCTTATGATCTGTGTCTAATAACAGCACTGTAATAAATCTTAGCCATGATTAAAACTGTACAGTAAGGTACCACTAAACACCAAGTTGGCTTTGAGTACCACTGCATAGAATGTATACACTGAAGTGGGTTAAAACTGAATACTTCAAATAACAAACTTTATAGCTAACTTTGTAACCAGAACTACAAAAAATATGTCATTATACATTAGGACTTTTAATCTTTCCATAAGTTTATCTTGTGTAGTCTTCCATAATATCTACAAGGACTACATAATTATTCTATGTTTATTCTGACTCAGAATTTTAATCTATGATGAATTGGTGTCTGATAAAATGCTTTAACAATTATGTAAAGTAATCAAGCACTGACAACACCCAGAATTTAGAACTATTGATGTTAATCTGTTTGAAATAATTTCAACTAAACATTACTACTATTTCAAGTGTATTTACTGATAACCATTTTGAACTGAAAATCTTTTCTATTCTCATTTTTTCCAAGAAGCAGACAATATAAGTCAAGAGAAATCTGAATAGAAAGAGAAGACTTGGATGGCATTCTCTATTCAGTGAGAAAAATCAAGAAGGCAACAAAAGCCACTTTTTAAATTACTAAATTTCTTTATTTCTGTAAAAACTAGAATATGTATATTTTGAATACACCCTCATACAGAAAAAATAAAGTAGGCTAAAAAAAAAAAAAAACACTAAGAAGTAGGAAAGTTGAAAAATGCATTTTAAAAAATGTCCTTTGACAGAATTTAGGGATAACAAAGAGAAAATATCCATCAGAAAGAAAACTAGAGAAAGTCTAGAATTTAAGGCAGCTTTTCCACAATGGCCACCAATTCTAGAAGACATGGCTTAAAAACTCAGATCTTTTGTTTTTTGTTTTGCATCCTGGAACACAAACCCAGGGCCTGGTGGTGGTAGGTACTCTACCACTGGACTACATCCCCACCCACAAAGTGAGAACTTTTTTCAGCCTTGCAGGGCAAAGGGAAAAAACTTCTCACCCGAAAGGATCTTTGAAACTCTTTATACTCTGGTTACAGCTTCACAGGAATTCAACCTAGGAAGTAAAGGCTGGATTAGAGCTCTACACCGATGAACCCTAGGGACTAAAGGAGAACTACAAATAGATAAGCCACCACAGGAAATGAAATTGAATAAAATAACCCAGTATTGGTATATGTGCAATCAAAAGCCAAAACCAAATATAAATCCTATTTAGAGGAATATATTGCCACACTATGGTTTAAATAATTTCATATTGATAGTATGTAATAATATATCCAATTAAAAAATAATAGGAGAAAATAAAAATCTGAACACAAAATCCAAGAAAAATAAGAGCTGTCAGAAAAGCCCAGAGTTTACATAACACTATTATTGTAGATTTTCAATTAATTATGCTTAGTATATTGAGAATTCAACACAAATTAGAAACTACAAAAAACAGTCAAATGGACATTCTAGAACTGAAAAACTCAATGGGTGGCTTCAAAAGTGGTTTACTCACACCTGAACAGAGATTTTGTGAACTACAAGACAGGTCAGATGAAAATAGGGAAAGGCATGGATGAAAAAACAGGAGACTCTAGGAGATAAGAGGGAACAATGCAGGGCTGGGGATTTAGCTCAGCGGTTCGGTGGCCTGCCTTGAAAGCGCAAGGACCCAAGTTCAAAAAAAGAGAGAACAATGCTAAAACATATTTAAATACACAACTCTAGAGAAAGAAACAGAGCCAATAATAACACTTTTTTAAAAGATGAAGTCCAAGCTGGTGATATATTTCAATGGTAGAGTGCTTGCCTAGCATGTGTGAAGGCCTATACTTAAAACAAAACAAAATATAGACAATAAAGGCTGAGAAATTTCTGAAGCCAATGAAGCTTATATTACAAACTTTAAGTTTTATGAACACCAAAAATGATAAATAAATACAAAACCATATTGGGGCACACCACAAACAAAACTACCGAAAACTAATGAAAAAGAGAAAAATCTGAAAACCAGAACATGGGGGGGGGGTACCTGCAAAAGAACAATAATTAGATGGACAGCAAAGTTCTCACAGGGAGAACAAGCCAGGAAACACATAATGATACTTTAAAAGTACTACAGGAAAATAACTGCGAAGTTGTAATTCTACACCTATATTATGAACAAAAGTGAAATAAAGACTACTTCAGAATAGAGGAAAAAAAATAAAATATTTACTAGCAGATCTAAATACTCAAAACATAAGGAAGATAAGCTACCTGGGAGCCAGAAGATGTGGGCATACATACAGTGGCTAAATCTGAATAAATACTGACTTGAAGTTACTATACATAGAAGTAAAATACTTAACAGCAACAGAATAAAAAGAGAGTAACTGGAGTTAAATGTTCTAAGATCTGAGTTGTTGGAAAGTAAAATCTGAAATTTTTGTTAGTCTTTCATAGGCAAAAGCAGTAATATCTACAGTAATCACTAAAATAATTCTTCAAAGGTATAATACATAAACTATATTCTCTCTAATATAGAGAAAAAAGGAAATACAATCCAAAAGAAGACAAAAAAAAGAGAAACAAAGGAACACAAAACAGGTACGATAAGTATCAAGAAGCTAGCTGGATTAAAATCCAAATATATACCTCATTATATTAAATGCAAGTAAACTATGTGCTCCCATTAAAAGATAAAAATTGACTGAAAACACATAGAAAACTTAAGACATGCTGCATACAAGGTAAATCTCAATTAAATATTAATGATAGAGAAATACTGAAAGTGAAAAGATGAAAAACATGTACACTATATAAAAGCCAAAAGAAAGCTGTGTGATATTAAAATAAATAGTTTAAAACAAAATGCATAGAGATAAGGATAAACACTTTATAATAAAATTAAAAGCACAAAGATACAATAATACTAAATTTGTCACCCAGTAGTATCTTACATTTGAATTATAAAAAGTAAAAATTGACAGAACTACAAGGAAAAATCAGACACAGCAATAAACAGTACAACTGAATACACTTTTCTCAGACCGATAAACTTAGAAAATAATATATCTGCTTTAACTGACATATATTAAGGACTCAACAACTACAGAAAGTCTTTTTTCCTCCAAAGATACATAGAATATATACAAACATTAATCATATAGGCCATTAAATCTATTTTAAAAGATGTCAAGACTGCAATGCAGTTAGATATAAAAAAAAAACTGGAAAATAACACTAATAACTCATGGGCGAAAGAATGCCTAATGCACATTAACTGGATGAAAATAAAACCACTAAATAACAACAAACCTTGAGCGATATGGTCAAAACTGTGCCAAGAGAGTAATACATGATTTTAAATGTACATATTCAAAAAGGAAAAAGTTAAAAAAATAAGATCCACTTCAAGAAGTTATGAGGAAAAAAAGTAAATTAAGTCTAGAAAAAAGCAGATTAATAAAATGGAGCTATTATCAAAAGATGCAAGCATGATGCCATTTTTTTCTTTAAAATTTGTTGCCTCTTTTAAATTTCTATTTATAAATATGCAAGGTACAAAAGATAAACTTACTCTACAAACAAAAGAGAAGTTAGTGGTAAAACATAAAACTCATGTCCACCAAATGTCACTTCAGTGTACTGATCGTTTCTGAAGTTGTATTTCTTTTAAATACAAGGCATACTAAGTTCCAGTGAATAAGCCTAATTAATAAAAGCCAAACCTCATAATAAATCTTCAACAA